GGCGCAGGGGAGCCAGGGGCTGCCTGGCTGGCGGGGGGCCTGGAGCTCCCTCCCGGGCGTGGGGCGTGCGGACCTACCTATGAATTACGTAGTGGCAGAAGGAGAACGGAAGGGATGCTTCAAACATGGATTAGATATAAGGGCGAATTGAACGTTTTATGTTAAAGAAAAAATATGGTTAAAGTGATGGAGGTCATACTTTGAGCAAATGTACTAATAGTGTGTCTGCCAGTGATTCCTATAGTCACCCCAATGCCAGAGCAAGCTTAATTGTTCAGTATTAGCAAAAAAGTGCTCAAGATGCACTCAATACGCTCATTAACGGAACTACTAATAAGTAGCTATGTAGTGTGTGACCCTGAAACCACCATTATCTGGTGTTTCCTTTAAAGCTAAATGATTCTGTGATGTAGCATACTTCTTAAATGGTGGGAAAGCTCTTCCTGGAGAAATACAGAAAGAAGGTAGCTAGGAGTAGAAATAATGTCTTTGTGAAAAGATAGAATGTTAATACAATATAATTTAATAGCTGGGCCACTTTCCTCCTGTGATGTTGCAGCTGTAGAGTTCTTAAGCAGCCAGTTTTACTACTGTCAGTGTTTTCTTGAGACTGTATTGTAGGAATCTATTTGGATGTTGTATGTGCTGCCGTCAAAAGCAGGAGATCAAGTGAGATGTTACTGCCTCTTTTCACTGGACATAAAAAAGCATTAGCAAATGTGTACAATGTTCAGTATAAATTAAATGATTTGTTTGTGATGGCATGTTCTCTTAAGAAGTTTTCAGCAAATCTGCACCAGCTATAATGCTGCAATAGGGATCAGATTTATACCAGTGTTCTTCCTTCAATTGTTGACTGATGCTTGTTGAAATTAACAAAAGTAGCTGCTTGTTCTGTTTTAGGGAAGCAAATGGATAGGAAGTAGTTCTGGCTTAACATGTTTGGTACTGCTGTAGCGCTTGTGTATTTAACTCCCTTTTTCCGATGTTTTCAGGACAGGGATTTGCATTTCGGAGGAAACAAAAGATCCAAAGAGAATACCGAAAACTATTAAAAAGGGAAAGAAAGGTCGGGACACAGCGGGATATTCAGTTTACTGATACTTATCCAGAACACTTGAAACATCTCTACCTCGCTGAAGAAGAGAAGCTTAAGAAGCAGCGCAAGGCTACAAACGACCCCGTTTTGTCAGAAGAAAAGCTTAATAAAGTAGTAGAGTAAGTCTTTAAAATAAATCTCCAGAAACAAATAACTGTTTTCATTGTTAAAGAAATGTTTTAAATCTTGCGATTTATGTGAATTTGAGTATAGCAATTTAATTTACCAAAAAATTTGCTCTTAAAAATTAATAGTTTCTAAATGCACACAGAGAGAAGAACGTTGTTCGCTGATTTTTACCTGCTATGAGTTAATACACTATATGTACCTGTGCAAATGAAGATTTCCAAGAAGAGCTTAATGGGGATGATCCAGCTAGCAGAGAGAATAGTAACATGTTATTTGTGAATAACACTTTTTTGCTTGTTTATGAGCAGATAAAAGGATGTTTCTATTTTCTATCTTTTTTAAAAGTTGTTTATAGTGAGATTTGTTTCAAAAGCTACTTATGTTTTACTAAATGGAAAAGTCAAATGGAGTATTTCATTTGAGGCCTAAAAACATCAGACAACTTTGATGAATTTTTCCCCTGTTTGGAAGTAAGTCCCCCTGAAATCTTTGTTAGGTATGTCAGTAACCTGAAAACCAGTAGTCAGTCAGCTCTGACACTATCATAGCAGTGTTTTGAAACAGTGTTTCAGGATGGCATATGAGATGATGTCTGGTTGTCCCACCTACAAGGAGTGCCTTAAGTCTTTGAATTTCAAGGTGTGTCTGCCTCTCAACTTTCCTGGGAAAAATGCTTGAGAGTAGGGGAACAGGGAGTCAAATCCTGTTGAGAGAGAGAGGAAAATTTTTTTTGTTTTGCTTAAATTAGGGTCATTAATTTTGGTTTTTTATCACACTCAATAATTCTGCCTGATTGTGACTGCTGATCTGTGAGGTGCAGTGATACCTAGAGTCTTTAGGTAGACTTTATTGTTCTATGTGGCTATAAAACAAAATTTTGCTTAGGTAGCTCTAAGTTTATGTCACAATTGAAATATAGTGTCTCACTGGAGTGGGTGAGGTGTTATTAGACAGTATTGCCACAAGATGGAGTTCAGAATAAGACAAAGATTTTTTTTTTTTTCCAGAAAAGAATGATATTTCTAAATGAAAGCATGAGTGAATGTCTTCACTTTCCTCTCTGATTGTCTGAGATTTCCTAGATGATTGTGGCTAGTTTTCCACTTTGAAATGTGAGTAATAGAGAAATCGGAGCTTGTTTTGGCAGTAGTTGTTAAAAATCTAGCAAGGCTTATATTTCCCAGTATGAAATGACTTGGCTAGCATACTCTTTATGCAATGCCTTTATTGTGAATCTGAAAAAAAAGTCAGAACTAGGTAACCAGAGAAATCCACTCAAAGTAGCGGTGACAGTCAATGTCAAACATCTTGTTTGTCTGAATTGTTCTCTCTGGTGAAAAATACCTGTAGCAGATCTTGTTACTGAAATTGGGAAGGAACCTAATTTCCATTGCTAATTTCAGAATATTAAGGATAATAGTATCTCCTTCAAGAAGAGATTTTCATAAAGGCATTATTATTCCACTTTTTTGCCTTCACATGTCACTGTGACTTTTTGAGGAGACAGCCTGCTAACAGCTGGCTGTCTTCATATCTCTGCAATTGCATCCATGTGTTGGAACTAGAAAGAGATAATACAGCTCTAAGCTAGTGCACGGAGTTTTTCTATCGCTGAAGAGCTAATATAACTGGGGAAAACCTCTTTGGCATTCTTCAAACTGTATGAAACTTCATCCACATGAAGTTCCAGTGGATAAGGTATATGTGTTGCTAACAGTCTGTGCAGTCCAGTCTTCAGTATACTCAAGAGTTGATAAGTTTTTATGCTAGATGCTCGTTATGCATGAGCATCATATAAGATTAGTTTAGGTAGATAGCCATTCAGTTTAGAAGGATGAGCCTCACTTCTCACTTACGTAATCTGTAAATCTTAAAAGACTGTAAAGACTATACCCTGATTCTGCAATGGCAAAGGGCTACATGACTTAGTGTGCTTAGTGATATTCTGTATGTAAAGTATGTGTACTTTTTAATTATAGGCCAGTTACAACTGAAAGGAAGTTTAAGAAGAAAACGTCCAATCAGAAGGCAAAAGAAGAGTATGAGAAAATAAAGGCTGAACGTGCCAGGAAGAAAGAGGTAAATCTGAAACAGAGATTTTTCTTGACTGGAGGCAAAGGCTAGGATAATACCACTTTGTCTGTCCATCTGGACAGAAGCAGGACCATATGAGGGGAGCATAGATATTGGTATTCTTTCAGTCTCTTTCAAATTGACAGTAATATTCAGACATGCAAGTGTTCAAAACTATTCTCTTGGTTCTCGCGGTGCTATTTATTTGTTGTTGCTGTAGTGGTATTTTATTACATTGATTACTTCAACAAGAAATACTTAGACCTTGGTGTGCATATCCCAGTGGATTATACTGGACGTCTTAAATATTGTAGAAGAGGAAGTAATAAAAATACCATCATCTGGTGATAAAAAAAATGAAATAACCTTCCCATTTCTTACTGGGTTATAAGACAGTTTTTATTTTTCATGCTTTGGTCAACAGTGAAACTATTAAATGTAATAGTATCCAAGCCGAATGTCTTCAAAATTGCTAGTAATTTTTTTCGTCATACTAATTTAATGAGAGTTATGCTTACAGTGTGTATCTTAATATTACCATTGTTGAATAACTCACCTGAGACTACAAGCACTTTTCTCTGAAGCAGCTCATAAGAATTACTTTGAGAGGGGAAGTGTATCCAAGGTATTTAGACAGAAACAAACAGTGACTAAGTACCAGAATAACAATGATCATGTAGATGGAAAATTGGTGTGGTAATTACACACTTTTCCCCACGTTTATAGCAAACACTGCATTCACTGTTACTTATTGAGAGAAAAGAAGAAGGCCTAAAGGCATAAAAAACACGTTTGGGTTTGGCCTCTGCTCGCTCGCGCTCTCTCTCTCTCAAGTAGAGGTGAGAAAAAATACAAGTGAGGGTAGCAAATACCTAAGTAAGAAGAATGTTCTTACTCTGAACAAGCATTTGGTTGGTAGCTTAAAAGGGCATTGTGTACAGTAGCCTACCAAATAACAGCAAAAATTGTTAGCTAGGAACTGCGTTGCAGTAATCTAGAGTTGATGCTGTTCTGGTTTTAACAAAATAGAATTAACAGTATTAATCATTGTTACAATAAAATATATGAAGCATTCTGGATGGAGAGATGTAGTCTTTGCAGGTTTATGTTTTTCCCAAGCAGACTCTTAGATTTATATTTGGAAATACTGTTCTGAGTTATGGCAAGTTAATTTTATAGTCCTACCTTATAGAGCATTCTCACTAATTTTTATATATCACAGAGACTATCTCTGCCACAGAAAACAAAAATATTCTTGATAAAATTACCATCTCTTTGGACATTCTGCAAAAACATTTGCCTTTGTGGTCAGCATGGCACCGCATTTCAAAGAGTAAGCTTTATGAGAAGAAATCATCTGAACGAACTGAAGCAACCCTTCAGTCTGATTTGCAATAACTTGTGTGTTTTCATAAGACGTGATATAAGTGAAGCAAGCTGATTGGCTTGCTCATCATGAATGTTTGCTCAAATTACTGAAATTATGATACTAGAGAAGGGTGTGTAAGCTGCCTGATAAAATTGAACGTAATATCAGGATCATTGTCCGTATAGACTGTGGGTACCTCCAGTAATGTTTTCGTTGTATTTATGCTCTCTGTCCTCAAGAAGTAAAATTTGTACAGTTGAAAATTGAGTTAGCGTTTTCTTTTTTTTTAATCATATTAAAGACAGAAATGTGTGTTAGTTTGAAGAGCATGGGTCGAAGTCAGTTTAATCTTAAGTTGTCCATAGATAACGTTGCTTGTGATATCCAAGCATCACAAGCCTGGCCTACCTCCAGGTGTTACTCCAGATATGTCTCATTGATTTGCCAGTCCCGTGCAGGTTTCTCCAATCTCCTAGCACATCTCAAATTGCAAGACGTTTACATGGGGGCAGCTGAATCGTGTTCGTTCTTTGTCTTGCCCTTAAGAGTAGAGGGTGGAAAATTTTGGGTGCTGCTTCATTTAAGAAGGAAAAAAAAATTAAAGGAGCACATATCAGAGAAAAACCTGCCTTATTCAGTGACAAGCTTTATGGTACGATGTTCACTGAAGAAAATATGGCATTCCTCTTGAAGCTTTGGGCAAAATAATGTGTGCTTTGATTGCAGTGTGCCCTGGAAGAGTCAGAATTAAGCTTCTAAGAGTGATGGTGCTCCTAGTGTTAGTACTATACCTAGTTGCCGATACTTTCACAAATAAAATAAAATAAAATAAAATTATATTGCTTATAGAGCAATTTGTCAGGTGTAGAAGGTCTTTAATTATTTTGACATAATCATCTCCATTTCAGGAAGCAGAAAAAAGAAAACAACAAAGAGAAGAAGCTCGACGGTTGTACAAGCAAAAGAAACTGGAGGCTTATAAAATATTGAGTAAGAAGACCAAAAAAGGACAGCCAAATCTCAACTTGCAAATGGAGTTTCTCCTTCAGAAAATACAACAAAATACATAAATCTCTGCAAATGTCTTACATTTTCAGTTAGCAATCAGCTAATTACATGTGGATATTTTATAAAATGACTTTTAATAAATAATGTCTTTAGGCTTCTATATGACTTTTGATTTATTTCATCAGTCCCATAAGGAAGGATATAGACTGAAAATTTTTATTCTGTGCTGAGATTGCGTGTGGTCTTGTACCTTGAAAATTAATCGTCTGAGTTTCCAAACTAAATTCTATTAGCTATATACTGTCCCGAATTTCAAACCATTAGCACCTAATACAATTGGAACATCTGTGTGTTTTGGCTAGAATGCTTTTTGCGTCAGTATCCTCAGGCTTTTTCCACCTTATCTCTTCATACTTTTGATATCTAGGCTTTGCATCCTTGCTGTAATCTCATTTAGGAGAGTATCAACAAAAAAAAGTGGAAGCTTTTCTTGCAGTGGGCATGCGTATGCCTCTTGGAGAGAAAGTAAAGGCTATGTGAATGTGATTAATCCTTTAATTATTCGTGCTGCATATGATATGCTTGTATTAGTGTTACAGTTTTCCTTATGCGTTTCTCTGATATTTGCTGTAACTGGCAATTTTGATTAGCTCTGAGCTGAAACGTTAAAGAGCAGAAATTTGCAAAGTATCCAGAAAGTGGTGTGAATTTTGTTGGGTACTGGTAGAAAAAGTGATATTGGTTCTGGTAAAGGTAAATTCTATAATACATGATCTGTTTTTTTTTTTCCCTGTTCTAGCCTATCAGCTTTTAAAAAAAAAAAAATACAGACTACAACAATTTGTCGCTATTAGATTTTTTTTAATCAGTAGTGAACAAAACTTAAAATGTTAAGGTTAGTGTAACTTGTGGGCAAAAGAAACATCATCGGTGTGAATGGTTGAAGTTCTATCATTTTATGTTTGCATCGATCCATTAGCTAAAAGATATTAAAAGATCATATAGGATAAGAAAATACTTAAAACATATTCAGAGTTATCGGGCAGATATCATCATCTGCCATGATGTCAGCTCTCTGTTTATACAGAGAAGATTTCAGAAAATCCCAGGTCTTAAGCTGATAATGCATTGATCAATGTCTATTCTGAGTTACTGGTATTACTGTAGATACTGGTATACTATTTATATGCCAGTGCCTTTTAAACATGATGTTTATCTGTAAAGCATTTAGGATAAAGTTTGTGAAATCCAAAAAATCTTTTCTTATGTTAAATTGCGTGAAAAATTTACTGTTAAAACATTCCATGTGCTTGCTCTTGATGAAGAATTGGGTAGGTAATAGGATGCAGTAAGTTAATTAGTTCCCCTCTTTAGGGCTTGTGGTGTAATTTTACTGTAGACATTGTTTTACAAATTTACTCAAAATATATGTATCATGTAACCAATTAGCATTCATAATTCAGTCAAGTGATTTAATGATTTCATATCACTCCTCCTCAGAGATGCGAATTTTCTGTTGTTAACTATTTGAAAAGAATAGGAATTCTGCGCTCTCTTCCAAAAAAAAGAAATCACCATTTTTTGACTTGTGTTGCTCTGTCTTTGTTTGAGAGTAGAATATTGAGAGAAAGTCAGGATATGTGGTATCTGTTCTATCGTGTTGCTCATATAAAATTTAGCCTTACCTAGTTCTAACTTGAATTGTTGCCCTTTTGTTCAGTCTTTTTATTTCTTGTTCTTGTTGATAGTTAATATGAAACAGACCAACTGTATCTGACTTTCCTGAAGTTGCACCTGAAAATGCTGCCCTCTCCTCCCCACTGGTGCTTGAGGTAACCTGATCGGGTAAAGGACTTAATCAAAAACCAGTGTAGAGTCTGACTGTAGCCTCATCGTTGCTGATTTCAAGGAAGAGGAAGAAAGGGAGATTCTGCCATATCCTAATCACTTCCTCTCTCTGCATAGCTTTATTTAATTGAGAGAAAGAAGGGGCTATTATTAAACCCTGCGCCTCATGAGCCTGTATGTGACTTTTTTTTTCTAGTAGTAGTTAGTTCTTCATGTAGCCGTCCTAAAAAAGAAAAAAAAAAGTTAAAATTATGTATTCCCACACACTATACTCTGCTGATTACTGTGAAATAGCAGCCCAGGACAGTAATAATTATAAGTTAAGCGCAGCTCAGCGCGGCAGCTACTTCTTTAGCCTGCAGTACTGTACTGTTAAGCTCCTTATATTGATTTGGTACCACTGGAAGATAGAGATACAGCAATAACAACAGTGGCTCAAGGTCATAAAGGCAGAGTAGGGACTTGAACCTTTGCTTTACAGGGTAGCACAGTAACAGCTAACCCACCCATCTCTTTATGGAGAAAAGAATTGAAAGGAGAGGGGAGGGAAGGAGTGTTTTAGGGAAGGAGATTAAGATTTTTTTTTTTTTTTGATCTAGGCTAATGGCAAATATATGACTTTATAGAGGATGCCTGTAAAAGCTGCTGCTTTCAGTTGTGTCCCTTTAATTTGCGACGTGTAAAAAGTTAGCTCAATGAGATACTTCAAGCCTCATAGGAGGCACAAGCTATTTCTGTTTGAAAATTTAAAGTGTGATCCACCTAAGTATCAAGAAATGGCCACTACTTACACTACTTTGTGTTAAATTTTGCTGTGCATGTGTAGTGAAGACCTTGAAATGTGAAAAAGAGGAGTGTAAGTCCCATCACAACTCTTTTGTGGTCATACTCTCAGGTTCTCTCTGAGTTTGAAATTCTATTCTTTAAATGTAGGTCTTCATTGAATGCAGGCAACTTTAGACATCTCTTTTCTCCTTTCATTATGAACTGGTGAAGCTGTGAATCAGAGAAAAAGGGGGAAGAAACCATCGTGTACAATACATGTATTTTCTCTTTTGGGTTCTGAGGAACAGAATGTAAAGCTTCCTTTGCTCCTTTTGAAGGTAGCTGTTTGGAAAAGCATAATAGTAACTTAAATGAATCATCTCATTAAGCTGATTTTGAAAGTACTATGACTTTCTCACTTTGTACACATCTCTCAAGAAGAACTTTCATCTATTAAGATATGTAAAGAGAGGCTTTAGAAATATGGGACAATGTAACTTCAGATTTTCTATCTTTACAGTCTAAAAAAATCATGCATGCACTAATAATTAGATAAAGAACATGAAGTTAAAAGACGGATTGTAACGTTGTAGCCAGCTCTTGGGTTTTGACAGTATCATCCATCAAGGGATGGAGGCCCAAATGCAGACCAGTAGCTTGACAGGGCAAGGCTGCTGTAGCTTCATGGCCCAGGGCTCAACTAAGAGTGAGGCTGAGCACGTTTTCCCAGGAGACACCACACAAACACATGTATACCCAATATATTCGTTCATGGCTGGCCACTTGGGTCAACATAGACATACACAGCGCTCACACAGTGCCAATGGTCTCATCCTCTACCTCTCCAGCTGGTCAGGAGGAAGGTTGGTTAGTGGGGCACACAGATGTACAGTGTGGATCCCTCCAGTGGCTGGGCTCAGACACTCATTCCCCCCAGTAGCTGGCCCTGGATCTCCAGTCTCCCCAGTGGGATACGAGCCCCTGCGACCCCCAGGCCCTGTTCCAAGGGCTGGTACAGACCTTCACACACTCACTCACTGTGGATGGACATCTCCAGCAGCTGGCATCGGACTCAAAGTCCATTCAGTAGCTGGTCCTGGATTTCTGCTCTTCTGGGTGCCTCGTGCCCTAGAGATGCGCACACAGACGTGTCTCAGTCAACCCTCAGATGCCCCTAGCATTCACCTAGGACTCCCTGGCCCCTCTGGTGGGCAACTGCTGTATAGTCTCGCCCTTGGAGACCCACACACACCCCTAGCTCCCAGGTCACCTCACCTACTCACTGATGCCTCTGTCTGCCTTGATGTCTACTAGTGAGCACAGCCTCCCTCGTGCACCCTCACTCACTCCAGCTGCAGCACCACAGGCACGTGGGCCCTCTCGCCTGTGGTCCCAGCCAGCTGCTGGCACTCAGACCTCCACACACACACAGGATAGGGAGTCCCTCACCCAGGAGAATACTTAGAAAGGAATTTAAGAACAAGATAGGACAGACCGCACTGATCAGGCGTAGGGCATGGCCTGTGCCTAATGACCACCCTCATTTACACATGACCAGCCTGTTATGTTTTATCACCATATGCCTCTAGTTTCCCACATTTGTTCCTCCCCAAACCACCTCTATCCCTTCCTTTCTCCCCTTTTTGTTCCTCCTCTAAGCATCCCACATCCGTAAATCTTGCACAATCCGAAAATGCTCTTCCTCAGGCAGCATCCTGCAACGTGTCTCTCGGCCCCAGGCAGCAACGCCCCTTGGCCTGAAAGGTGGCCAGGGAGCTGCCCCCCTTGTCTCACCGTGCTGGGTGTCTCACCTGGGCCATGGGACTGATTTAGTTTGTTTTCATCTGGGTTACTGGAAACCCAGAGTAACAGCAGGCTACTGTTAATTGGTTCTTTTACATACTGCGTTAGCTTGAGGTTAGTTTTTATCAGTTGTGAGAGACTTCTGGAGATTAATAGTTGGAGTCTAACCTTTCCATTTAGGTCTTGTTCTCATATTTAATGTGATCACAGTGACTAAACCTTTTCTTCCGGAGCACAATTCAGTGGCTAAAAATTTTTAGTGATAAATGTGACCTGTGTCATACAATCATACAGCTGGTGGTTTTAGCTGGAAAATAAAGTCAGAAGTGCACAGAAAGGGAATCATCTGATTACTCAGAAGTGACTTCAGACAAAATACTGAAGATGATAGAAACCACAAAATCGATAAGAAAGAGTAAGAGCAGTGGTTCTGTAGTAAACCAGAGGATTTTAATTTCAAGTAGCTATCACTATTTGGGAAGGAGTGAACAAATAAAAGCATTAGGGAAATAAACACAGGTTTCTGCATTCCAGAACTGTGGGTGTTGATTCTTCTGTAGTACCCATGAATAGTACAGATGTTCAGAAGTATAGCATCTAAAGGTGTTTCTAGGAGGGTTGCTTTGATGTGATATGGTCTCTGTGCTACGTTCTGTGCCTTGAAAAATTAACAGCCTGGGAGCTCTCAAAAATAAGAGCGTGGTGCAGTATGGGCTTAGTATGGTTTACCATATGATATTGATGTACTTTGTCATTGTCCCTGTGCTTATTACTTTTAAAAAATGTCAAGGAGCTACAAGAGCGTTGACTATTATTGACACGTGTTTTAGAGGTCACAGATTTACTTCTGATGACCCTACCTGTACTGAAAGATGTTCTGAGACATGAAAGTAGAAACAAGTAGAAGTTGTAGAAATAGAAACAGGAGTCAGGGAATCCCTGAAATTTTTTGGAGAAACTGTTTCAAGAATGCAAATGTAGCATTCTAGTTCTAATGTTCATAAGGTTTCCTGTAGTCAGTGAGAATACCATCAAGGGGCAAATAATGTCACCTGAAGAGAAATCACATGTATCGCTCCTAGACACACATATCTATCCACAGGGAGCCAATAGTGACTAGTTCCAACATTCAGACTTCCAGAGCTAGGTGAGGTGAATCCTATCCGGTGTCATGAAGAAGCTTTTGCAAGGGGCATTTGGGAGCAATATTTAATTAGAAGGTAATGATTTGCAGTGCAGACCTGTTGAAATCTAGGCACGGAATAAAGAATGATTTCTTAGCAACAGAATAGCGGGACAGTCCTGAGCATATTAAGCACACCCAGCCAGGACAGGACAGTGTATTGTGTTCCTCAGCATCCTTTAAACAGGCAGTTTTCTCTGTTAGTTTTATTAATACTAGTTACTCTCACTTTGACCCCAGACTTTTTTTTACTTAAGCAGTAATGATTTACTGCAAGGATGATGATGATGATTATTTAGTTACTTATGTAGTATAATAAAACAGTGGGACTTAATTAAATGCCAATAGCAGACGGAAAGTGTGTCCTACAGTTGCTGACATGTCATCCTCGTCTAAAAGTTGAAGACAAACTGATATGAAACAGGAAATCATTCTCCTCCTTTTTAACATTAAAAGGATTAAAACTGTACTGTAATATGCAGTTTGTTTAAGGTCAGTAGCCTATCCATAACAGCTGCACTTAGGCTCAGATTGCCTTAAGGACACCCAAGTGATTAAATCTGTACAGTAATAGAATAATGCTGGACTGTAGTAAGGCCTTCGTGTTTTGTCATTCGGTTGCTAATACTTATGCTTAATTTCCTTTATCTTCCAGTTAAGTCAGATCAAATACACAGTGAAATGAATAAATGCACTTTTTGCAGAGTAGAATCCTAAGTTGAATATTTATGATGGATTTTTTTGTTTGTTTTTAGTTTCAAGGACCAATTCTGGTTTTGTATGTAGAAATCTACACCAGACTAGTTAGGCTGGTACCGTTAAATGTTCCTTCAGCAAGAATTCCGT